AATCACACATACATAAGGTTCACTGCATAAATACGCTCTACATAATAATGGCTTGTTTTACTAGTCGTGGTGAATAAGGTGCTGGGGAAAATTTCGAACTCCATTGACAAGATTCTTTTATGTACATGTGTATGTGTGATTATATGTACATATGCATATGAATTTGCATGTGTATATATGCATATTTTTGTTTTGTTTATACATAATCGCAAATATTTTTGTATGTGCTCACTGGGTGGCATTAGGCGCTTATTTCAGGTATAATATCGAGGGATATCCAATACTTAAATTTTGGCAGAACAGTGAAGATCCAATCAATTATGACGGTGAACAGGATGCAGAAGGTAAAATTTATTTTATTTATTAAAATAACTTCGAATTTCATGTTTTGTTGAGTATTGCATTTAACTACACTCGTTTTTGCCTAATTATGAACAGATGAGATTCCAGGTAAGTTACATTTTGCCCGGCTACAATTCAATAATATCTAGAGTTCTGCTCCATCATATCCATACAATAGATACTCAGTTATGCAGCACACGGACGCCTTCAGTAAAAATATAATGAAATAAAAACATCATAAAAATATCATAAACTTCACAAATTGCATGCTTCTTATGTAAAAGTGGATTTTCTGGAGAAAGAGAGTTTTAAAAAAATCAGGGAAATTTGACGAAAATTTGGATTGGCATTTTCCTGCTGTGAAATTTTGATAAATTAGGGAGTGTTTAACGGCCTAGCAGGCATCAAACCTGCAGCAGTTGTTACGAATTAGCCTTGGTGCCCGTTGAACAACACTGCCTTATCTAGAACGTTGACACTCTTAGACTACGATGTAATATCTCCCGAACTAATAAATTATGAGATATATCTACCAGTTTTTATAACGCTTTCTTTCAGTGTGAGTATCAGTTTGTTTCGTTACTGTGCGTTAATTTTATCTTCATTTTTTTTAGTACCTTTTGATAGTACCATATGTGCCATGTGTTGTTTTTAGGCATTATCGAATGGGTATCAAAAAAAGCGGACCCCAACTACAAGCCACCTCCGTCCAGTGTTCTCACACTGAGCAAGGAAAATTTCACTGAAAAAATCAACTTAGAACCATTGATGCTCGTCAAATTCTACGCCCCATGGTGTGGACACTGTAAGAAACTGGCGCCTGAATTTGAAAAAGCCGCTAGGCAGTTAAAGGTTCGTGATTTAATGCTCAGGACAGTTCCTGTCCCGAATTTCGGAAAGCTCATTATGTTATATGGATAGATATAGTTGAGTTTAACGAATGAAATCAGATTTTTTGGCCCTCAAAATTTATGAAAAATTTGGTCATAATTTTTGAAATTTTTTCGCGAAATTAGTTTTTATTTGATTGATGATTTTTCTAGGTTATGGTACACTTGGGCTATGTTTGTGAGACAGTGCTCTGAGCTTATTGAACTAAAATAAATTAATTAAGTAGTATTTATGCGGTCTTGATATACGTAGAATGTTCGGTATAGACATACGTAGTTTGATTCTTCGGTTAAGCAGTTGCCGATCCTGACGCTTCATTCATCTCCTGAAGGGATTATCAACTCAGTGAGTTCCTCAAAAAGCACTTCGCTTTAGCTTTATCGTGATAAAATCCTAGGTAAGTGCGTCGAGTATCACTAACTCGTCTCAAAAGTTGCCACCTCTAAACTGAGATGAGGCCTAGGTATCTTTTAACAGATTCACATCCTTTGTTATTAGTAGTAATCAGTGGTGCCCCCAACAGTGCAGAACAAAAGTAGTACGATTTGCTTTTCTTCTTTTTCAAATTTCAAATATTCGAAAAAAAGGATTTTTTTTTTTTTTAAATATCCGCCTCACTGATATGCCGTGTAGATTTTGCTTTCGTTCCGAGGAATTCAAATTCTACTTTTTGTTGGTTGAATTTTAGACAGTGTGGTCGATCAATCACTGAGCATTTCACATTTTCTTCACAGATTCCTCTCCTTATTTGGCATTTTGTCCTAGTATCAGTCTTTGAAAATACTGTGCTATTGTGGATCATCGATCCGATCGCTTAACAGTCCTAGGCTATTTTTTAACCCATTACTCTTCTATATTGTCGTTTTAGGCAACAGTTGAGTTTTTACCCTTATCCGCGTCCTCCCTTGAAGTTCTTTTTCGCTTTCTTTCAAAAAGTTAGGTTTGTAAGAAAATGCGCAGAAATATCTACTTTTAGAAAATAGTAAACTTGTAGCTTTTGTTACATTTCGTTATTTCTCGTCAGGAGAGGAATATTGTGCTGGCAGAAGTGGATGCCACTGTGGAGACAAGCCTGGCCGAGGAGTTCGATGTCACTGGTTATCCAAAGCTACTTATTTTCCGGTATGGCAAGAAATTCGAGTACAAGGGACCTCGTGATGCTAGAGGTATTTCCTTTTTCTGGACACAATCAAAAATCTGTTGTTTGAGAAAATACTTCGCTTCATATGTTGTTTTTGCCTCCTTATGGGTCAATTTTGAAGCGATTGAAATTAAGACACTCCTTATTTGTTACATTTAATTGGCATTGTCTCTTATTAAATAGTAGTATATTTGTTCCAAACCTGCTGTACTACTTGTTTGTACTAAAATTTTCCTTTTCCTTTATTTTCTTCCTTTGTTAAATTATTATATCGCCAATGCATATATATATATATATGTATATATATGTATGTATATGTATATATATGTATATACATGTATATACATGTATATATATATGTACATATATATATATATATATATATATATAT